ATCTGTCCATCTAGAATTATTCCCATGAAGACCTTTCTTTATATATTCAGAAGTTATGGAGAAACAGTTCTTGGCCATGCAAAGTATATGCAAAGAAATTTATGCCATGTCGGTTTGTTTTTTTAACACTATGCAAAGTGACTTCAGTATTGTTGGTGGTTGAGGCAAAGGGCTAAGTGGTACCATCTCATTTCATATACAGAAGCCAACTGGATGGGCAGTTCATCTTAATTTCAATAAGAGATGACCGTCTGCTCAATGCTCACACAGCTCAACTTGGGTAGAGCAAGCTATATTTTATACACAGCTCAACTATCCACCATTTTTCCTATTTTTCATTCATTGTAGCATCTGGCATCTGTCTACTAAAAAAGAAAATACTGCCATTGTGTTTGTTGTCTGCTCACTGCAATCACAATGGCAGTGTCTGTGTATATCAGCTAAGCAACATATATGATGTTTGCTGGAATACGTTAACGGGGTCAATTGCCTTTCCTACTGCTCCTCCCAAAGATGCTTTTCAAAAAACAACTGGACTTACCGTATTTTCCGGCGTATAAGATGACTTTTTAACACATGAAAATCTTCTCAAAAGTCGGGTGTCGTCTTATACGCCGGGTGTCATTCTCCTGTAACCAGGCAGACCAGCCCGAAAGACTCTGATGAGCCTTAAATGGCTCTGGCGATCCAAGCTCTGACAATCCCAGCTTTGCCTGCTAATCAGGCAACTCAGCTGGGATGCCAGAGCCCAGTAAAAGGAAAAAACTTTTTTTCTTTTACGTGGCTCTGCAAGCTCTGATGATCCCAGCTGAGTTGCCTGCCAATCAGGCAACGCAGCTGGGATCGCCAGAGCCATCGATCCAAGCTCTGACGATCCCAGCTGAGTTGCCTGCTAATCAGGCAACTCAGCTGGGATCGCCAGAGCCCAGTAAAAGGAAAAAAAAATTCCCCCTCCATCTTGCTTACCTTAGCTGCTAATCGCAACGCTTGCCTTGCTTCGCTTGCCTGAATCCATTCCATCAGCAAGCCACTCCCTGCCTGCAATCAAGCAGGCAGGAGTTGTGGACTTTAACTCCCAGAATTCCTCAGCCAGCAAAACAAAGCTGGCTGAGGAATTCTGGGAGTTGAAGTCTACAAGTCTTAAAGTTGCCAAGGTTGGAGACCCCGTTCTATTAGGTAAGTTTTTTTCCCCTTTGGGAGCTTGAAAAAAATAGTTAATTGGGGTTTTTTTTTAGTTGTTCTTTTTTAGACCTAGCCATTTAAAGTTTAGGAAGTTTTAAATTTAGTTTTCATATAAAAATAAAAATAAAATAATATTTGTGCAGCTTTCCGAGATTTAGTGTGTTTCTGTAGTGTTTCACTCTAACTACACAAACCCACAAAATCTCACAAAGCTGTATATGGAATTTTGTGTGTGTGAAGTGTGAAAGTTGTTTTTTTGGGCTTTTTGTGGCTGTGTGAGGTTCCTGCTTGTTGCAGGGGCCATTTTGGGTCTAGCACAGCTGCTTTTACATTGTGGGTAAGCCAGTTGATGTTTTTTAATTTTTATTTGGTGTGCGTTGGAAGAGGGGTAGTCTTATACGGTGAGTATAGCCCAAACCCTATATTTTAACAGGAAAAGTCGGGGGTCGTCTTATACGCCCAGTCATCTTATACGCCCAGTCATCTTATACGCCGGAAAATACGGTACTTGGGGTTTTTTTCCTTTGAAAACATTTAGCCTCTAATCCAAGAAGCTTCTTCAGTTCTGACTGAATGGTGGAGAATAGAAAAAATTATGTTCTTGCAGTCATTTGGTCATCCTTCTATTCCCCAAAACTGAAGAAGCTTCCTGGATGAGAAGCAAAATGTTTTCAAGAAAGAAAACAAAGAAAATCCAACTGCCTTTCAAAAAGTACCTTTGGGATAATGATGACCTGGATGACTGAGAATCTCCATAGGCACTCCTGATCCTTTAATCTAGACTTTCCCCAAAAGAACCATTATGGCGCATGAAAGCCAAATGAATGAGCAATGGTCTCTAGTTCATAGCCCAGCACAGCACAGCACAGCACAACATAACATAAGTGTCACCAGATGTTAAAATGACATTTGTGTGTTGACACATAAGCCTCCCTGTCTAATGATAGGACCTACAAAGATACTATATTTACAGAACCCAAATTACCTTACAGATTTGTTGAAGGAAACAAAGCAGGGACAAGAATGGGGAATGCCATCTTGAGTTTAAAAAGCAGGTCACAAATGTAAAATAATTAAATAAGTCAACTTGAGTGGAAATGATGAATAATTCTTACCAAAGAACCTGGAGTGCTAAAATTCTAATAAATCTGAAACTATGGGCTTACTGAAACTTTATAAAATTGGAAGAGTTTGCCAAGTGAAGACTAAGTAAATTCCCTACTTCCAGCCTCACCTGATATCTCTCAGATATCTTTCACTTATAGGTATTCACAGGATTCTAGCTTGCATGCATGCTAACACATTTAGAGTTGGACGCACGAAGATTTTGGGCTACAGTAACTTGAGCTGAACAAACATCTACAGCAGTAACAATGACCAAGAAATAGGCTGAATTATTGTGCCTGTGAATCTTCTGTTATAACTAGAATTCTAAACAGCCATACTGAAGACAGGGTACCTAATCATGAGGTACCCCACACTGCCACCTTTTTAATGGGTATGTATGTACTACCATTGAAAAAATTATATCAATAAAATGGTTGCCCAGTGTGATTTGATCAGAAGAGGCATAATAAGAGAACTCTTCGCTGTAGTATGAAAAGGTCAGTCCGAAAATGATACAGTTCTATTTCAGGACATTCTTCTTAGTCACAACATTAGATTGCTTGCTTGTCTTATGCAATACAGAGCCTTAAAAACTCAACGGACACTTTTCCCCACAGTGGTTTCTTTTCATATTCAATGAAATAAATGGTTGCAGTCAAATCTGTTACCATGATTTATTTCACTTGTACTTTCTTGCTGTAGAAATGAGCAGATACAAGACTGTATTCCCAAGATACCGTGAATAAAAAATATACCCTCCAGAATAGCTGATAACTATTTTCTATCTTTGCCCAATAAGTGGTAATTTTTAAATATTTTAATTTATATTTCATTTAAAAAGTTAAAATACAAATTCCAAAAATATTAGTGTGGTTTTGTTTTTTGTCCTTTTTAATGCACATTTTAAAATGTTTTATCTATTTTTATTTGTTATTGTTGTTTGTATTTTTAAAAATATTTATATTTTAACTTTTTGAATAAAATACAACTTAAAGTTAAATATATAAAAATGCAGTAATTTTTGAAACAGTGTTATTTGGATCATTACAGTAGCATCTATTTGCCAGTCCTTGTAAATCTCTTTAATCCAAAAGAAGTATAAAGATTTTTATTGTAAGGGATAACTGAAATTGGATTGTGTCCCAAAAAAAGATGATCCCATAACATATTTTCAGTATCTCAGGCTCCTTATTGCTTCAAGAATTGCTGGCATGCTTGATTTCCAGAGGGAAAGCTATATGTGTAAATTACAGCAAAACCAGCCAAGAATTTTGCATTATCTTTTAAAAAAAAATATATTGCAAACTAGAACATACTCTTCCCTTTCTTGTCCCTTTGTTGTGATTTCATCCAGTAAAATTACAAAATGTAGCTTATTAGAATTCATTTTTATGGAGTGATCCCAGCAGTTCTGCATCTTAACAACCAGTACAAAGGTGGTGGAAGCAATGAGTCATTTCTTAATTTCCACCTCTGCGCTATGATTAGCACATCTTTAATGAGCTAGATGTTCTGACAGGAACTGATCCTGAAGGAATAAGCTTCTCATATCAGGCAGTGCTTCATGTGCATTGGTCCAGTGGCACTGTGCTTTTCTTTTTATCCTCTAATTGTCCCCAAGACAGTCCCTCTCTATGCTGCTGGTCTTATTGGGCTCACATTTTGCACTGCTTTGCTTAAGCTCCTGAGGACTGAAATGTAGTGATAAGGCAGGCTACTTGGGAGATAGGCTGGGAGTCGCAACTTGTTTCATAGTGCATCTCTGCCAGGGTGTGCATGGTGGCTGCACTTGGCTTTATCAAAAAGATTGGAAGAAGCTTCTGAGTATGTGCCTGATGAGATTTTGCATGGAAGCAACGGGGCCACTTGCTTTGGCTTTTAAAAACAGGGAAACTGACTTGCTTCACACTGCAGCTTTGAAGGGGTTCTTTGCACAAGCCTGCATTGAAGCAAACCATTTTTTTAAAATGATGGTAACAGAGATATTTCATGAAGCTCAGCCATGTTTACAATTTATTCTCTGCCAACACTGACTTTGTTGATCAGTCACTAAATTGTGTCCAACTCTTCATGATCCCATGGATCATAGCATGCCAACCCCACCCCTGTGCTCTACTGTCTCCCCAAGTTTGCCCAGACTCATGCCCACTGTGTCAATGACACTATCTCACCATCTCATCCTTTGCCATCCCCTTCTCCGTTACCTTCAATCTTTCCCAACATCAGGGTCTTTTCCATTGCGTATATCACTAATATTTCTGTAGTAGAACATTATATGCAGAAACTAACAGAAAAATATATGGCTTTGTTACAAATTATTCTTATTAAAACCTCTTGTTCTTAAAAGCATGCAGGCATGCATACATCCTCCCTCCCAAACAGAAAAGAGGAATCTCTCTCTCATCTCAAAATATGCACTCAACTAGAAACATCTGACATAGTTTCAGACTCCGCTAATGTCTTGGTTGTGTATGTCTTGGCTCATAGATAACTGTCCCACATGGGACAGTCACCAGGCACTACTCTTGGTGTCAAGCTCAGGGATCACAATGGGATGAGTCACTAACAACACATGTGCATGTTTGTTCAGGGGGAAATATCACCAGCTTATTCTTAGGTGAATGAGCATTGGCCTGCATTTCAGAATGTAGCCAGTTAAATTGAAATATATGAATCTAAGTATGTTAATATTGGGAAACTGGTTGGGGATTATATAGGCAGATTTCCTTTTTCAGCAACTATTTGTTGACAAGCTTTGGGAAGGAAGGTGATATGAACAAAAACATTTGGAAAAAAGAAGATCCCTGAAAAGAAGATTCAGTGTGTATCCATAGATATTTACTAGAATTACAAATCACTATGATCATTTGTGTGTCGATTCTATTTAACTTTAGAAAAAAGTTCTATTTTAATAAAGTCAGTGACTTTGATTCTTATGACCAGTAAAAAGAATACATTAAAAGTATTCAGAAGTCTCTCTACCAAATCCCACACTCCTTTTTTTCCCCCAGGTGCTTTCAAGTTATTATTGACTCCTGGTGACTGCCTGGATAAGTTCCTGCAGTATTCTTGGCAAGATTTTTGAAATGATTTGCCATTGCCTCCTTCTTAGGTATGAGAGAGTGTGCCTGGCCCAAGACTACCCAGCTAGCTTTGGGTCTAATGCAGGATTAGAATTCATGATCTCCCAGTAACTAACCTATTGTTTTAAACACTCACAGAGACAAAGCAATTGAAGGAGAACTCTCCATTCTATAATAGAAGAAGCTATCAAGGTGGAATTGAAAACCTTCCAGTGAACTAAATTAAGTTCTTCTTTTACTTAGACCTAAGAGAGCATGAAGGACCCCTCATTTCAACCCTGAGTTATAAATATCCTTCTTTGTTGGCATATATAAATTGATACCTGATATTTAAAATTAGTTTTCCTTATTTTGGAGGCCTTAAATATGCATGAGACTTAACTTTTATAGTTCCAAACTGTTCAGTCTCAATAGAGTTGAAGGTTATCAGGGATCTAATTTAAACAATGTAAGAGAAGTATTTTTAAAAATCATTTTAATTAAGTTTAATAGTCTATCATGAATCAATAGTCTATTGTTAGCCACCAATGATGGATTGTTAAGCTTAACTAAAATACTTTAATAAAGCAGAAAAGTGTTTTCAACAAATAAATGCATGACAAAATAAATAACCCTGAAAAATGTTTGATTATTTATTACATGTTAAATAATTGCAACTAATATTTCTTGAAAATAATTGATGGGTTATTTCTATTATTATATATAATCTAAATGCCTGTATAAACTTGGTTACAATTGTATTAAAATCTATATATTTTTAAAAGTCTAAATTACTGCATATATTTTAAAAACTATATAGAAAAAGGAAAAGAAAGTTTATATTAAAATGAATATGAAAGCAGAATCATGCCAGAACCAGAGGAATATTGTGCATAAATTTCTCCTTAACAAACTAAATCACTGCAGCACATGCTGAAGTGCTTACAGAAATACTTAGCTGAGATCAGATAATGTCCAGGACAAGTGTTCATGTAGACAGACACTGAATGACATCTATCATTCTAGGCAGTATTTGGATAAATTGTCCAAGTAGATCAGGATACTGAGTCAAATATTATGATGTAGTAGTTCCCACAGAAAGCAGGTAAGGAAATACAAAGTTACAGCACAGAATACAGTTTCAAATGGCCAAGCAAGCAATTTCAGAAATCAAATAAAAGTTAAGTGATCAGAGGAAGAGAAGTTTGTTTTCTGTTTAAGGAAGAAGTCAATGTTCAAATTTAAATTGCTCCAGATACTTTGTATTTCATGTCCAATATTCTGCAGTTACCGTGACCTCCATCCCTATCTGCAAGTCAAATGCTACTAGATTGCTCAAAACTGATAATCCTTCCTAGCTCTGGTGTTGTACAGAAGTGGTGACTCAGAATGTTCATCCTTCTTCTGTTTGGTTCTCTTTTAGGCCCACTCCTTATCTTCTTCCATGGTTCAGATTTAGAGGCGGTGTATTTCCTCTTCTCTAAAAGCTAGCAGTGCTTTTAATATTTGATATGCAAAATGCAGTCTGGAAATTGGAAAATTCAGTGCCACGGAACCCAATGGGCTGGCCTGGAGAGAGTCTGAATTTCATAAATCATTATATACAGTAATCATTTTGCATTTACATTTACATTTAGCTGTAGCCTCTAGCAAGTGTATATACTGGAAATTTGTGATTGAATCATATGAAAGCACTGCAAATTTGAGACTGCAATCAAGAAACATTTTTAAGCAATCTATGGATTCTCCTCTAGAATACTAAGAAAGTTATTTAACTTGAACATAATTTCTAAGTAAACTTCTATATAATATCTTTTGGGCATAGGATAAAAAAATACATCACCTCTAAGTCTGAATCAGCAGCAGTTGGGAGAATTGACTATTAATAAATTGGTTTTCACAAACTTATGAATGTATGATGTTTTTCAGGCATTTTACTATCAGGCAGCCAATGTACTACAGCCATCCCTGCAATTCACATTAGAATTGGCTGCTGTTTCACTCCAGCTAAATGCATAATAATCAACATTTTTTTCTAAAAATAGGACAGACAACTTTCAGAACCAGTTATAAGTTGGTAAGTAGACTATATCTGATTTCCTAAAACTGTGGAACTGTCTTAGCTTGCTTTTACATTAACTTTTCACCAACCTTAATTTGCAGGGACTCCAACTTTATCTTCTTTTTGACTTTATCATGCTGTTCTTTCCATATAGCTCATTTGCATTGTGTAACTGATTTCATACACACATACTAGATGATCCATGACTCATTGGATCATTGTTTCAGAGATATTTCCTTACCTCAACTGATAAACAGAATTGCCATGAGTTGGCCGAAAAGCAATGGGAGTTAGGAATAACTTCTGACTTCCTACCAGGTTCCCCACTGATTTTGCTTGTCAAAAATCATGATCATATTTATTTATTGTTTATTTATTGGTTCGATTTATATGCCGCCCTTCTCTGGAGACTCAGGGTGGCTTACAATGCGTTAAGCAATAGCCTTCATATTTTTGTATATACCTGCTTAGCAGGGCTTTTGCCCCCCCCCAAACGGTGTTCTTTTTTATACAAAGTCAGCTTATTGCCCCCACAATCCGGGTCCTCATTTTACCTACCTCGGAAGGATGGAAGGCTGAGTCAACCTTGAGCCTGGTGAGATTTGAGCTCGCAGTAATTGTAGGCAGCTGGCAGTTAAGTGCTACTTAACAGCACTTTAGTCCGCTGCACCACCAAGGCTCCTCCTATGACCACAGCTTCAATTCTTCGAGCGATGTTAATCGTTATTTGCCAATCAATGTTAAAATGTGCTACTCCTGGATATTGTAAGCAAGGTATTTCAAATAATTTAAATCTCAGGCTTAGCCAAAAGTTTTAACCCAGTAACTGAATATATTTGCTATTTTAAAATAGCAAGGGCTCAGGGCAGGGGCGGGGGGGTGGCAGTTATTATAAAAGAAGGTCTGGATCCAAGGGAGACCACTGTTCCACAGATAGCCGGATGTGAGTCCCTCTTTGTGAAGTGGGGTCGTAGAGTACAGATGGGCTTGTTGGTCACGTACCTGGCTCCCTGCCACGTGGCAACGGCCCTGCCCGAGCTGCTTAACGTTATAGCCGAGGTGGCGGTGGACACCCCCAGACTTGTCATCATGGGGATTTCAACCTGCCATGTATCGGTGAAACGTCTGAAGTGGCTCGAGAGTTCATGGCTTCCATGACGGCCATGGACCTTACTCAGTTAATTCATGACCCCACTCACACAGGGGGACACACTCTGGACTTAGTTTTTGTCTCTGGTCAGTGGTTGAGTGGCCTTGATATAGGGGATATAGCCATCGAATCCTTGTCATGGTCTGACCACTCGCTCCTTCGACTGGACTTTCTAACCGCTGCACCCCGCCGCAGGGAGGCGGGACCGACCAGGTGGTTCCGCCCCAGGCGCCTGATGGACCCTGATAGGTTCCAGATGGAGCTTGGGCCATTTCCTGAGATTCTGGCTCATGACTCGGCTGAAGACCTGGTGGCCGCCTGGGATAGTGCGGCTGCCGGGGCCTTGGACCGAGTCGTGCCTTTGCGGCCTCTGACCCGGCACCGAACTCACCTAGCTCCTTGGTTCTCCGAGGAGCTTAGGGAGATGAAGCGCCAGAAAAGACGCCTGGAGAGTAGTTGGAGGACCAGCCGCTCCGAATCTGACCGAACACTGGTGAGGTCTCATATTAAGACCTACCTAGTGGCGATAAAAGCGGTGAAAACTAGCTATTTTGCCGCTCTTATCGCGTCATCAGATAATCGCCCGGCCGCCCTGGTGACCAGCTCCCTCCTCCATCTGGAAGTGCGGGATGACCCCTTGCAGGGCCGAGCTGAGGATTTTGTGCAGTATCTGTATGACAAAATCGCTCAGATTCGGGAAGGGCTGGCCTCTGACTGGGTATGTCCAGACGGGATGACTGAGGCAGGTCTTGAGAGTGTTATCTGGGGGGAGTTCGATCCTGTGGCTCCCGAGGACATGGACAGGATCCTGGGACGGCTGAACGCGACCACATGTTTATTGGACCTGTGTCCCTCCTGGTTGGTACTGGCTTCCCGGGAGGTGACACGAGGCTGGCTCCAGAAGATTGTTAACGCTTCTTTGAGTGAGGGGGTCCTGCCGGCTACTTTGAAAGAAGCGGTTGTGAGGCCCCTCCTCAAGAAGCCCTCTCTGGATCCGGCTGTTTTGGCTAACTATCGTCCAGTCTCCAACCTTCACTTCGTTGCAAAGGTTGTTGAGAGTGTGGTGGCGCAACAGCTTCCCCGGTACCTGGATGAAGCTGTCTATCTAGACCTGCTCCAGTCTGGCTTCCGGCCTGGGCACAGCACGGAAACGGCATTGGTCGCATTGGTGGATGATCTCTGGAGGGCCCGGGATAGGGGTTGCTCCTCTATCCTGGTCCTGTTAGACCTCTCAGCGGCTTTTGATACCATCGACCATGGTATCATGTTGCACTGGTTGGCGGGGTTGGGGGTGGGAGGCACCGTTCTGCGGTGGTTCTCCTCCTACCTCTCTGACCGGTCGCAATCTGTGTTGACAGGGGGGCAGAGGTCGACCCCGAGGCACCTGGCTTGTGGGGTGCCACAAGGGTCGGTCCTTTCGCCCCTTCTGTTCAACATTTATGTAAAGCCGCTGGGTGAGATCATCCGTGGCTTCGGGGTGGAGTTCCACCAGTACGCTGATGACACCCAGCTGTACATCTCCACCCCAGGCCACCCCAATGATGCCCTTGAAGTGATGTCCCAGTGCCTGGAGGCCGTGCGGGCCTGGATGGGGAGAAACAGGGTCCGACTCAACCCCTCCAAGACCGAGTGGCTGTGGCTTCCGGCGTCCCGATATAGCCAGCTGATGCCATCGCTGGCTATTGGGGGTGAATCACTCGCCCCCATGGAGAGGGCTCGTAACTTGGGCGTCCTCCTGGATGCACGGCTGTCTTTAGAAGATCATTTGACGGCCGTGGCCAGGGGGGCTTTTTATCAGGTTCGCCTGATATGCCAGTTGCGCCCCTTTCTAGATCGGGACTCCCTACGCACAGTCACTCAGGCACTCGTCACTTCCCGCCTGGACTACTGCAACGCTCTCTACATGGGGCTCCCCCTGGGGTGCACCCGGAGGCTCCAGCTGGTCCAGAATGCGGCCGCGTGGGGGATTATGGGGGCGACGAGGTGCTCCCATGTGACACCTCTCCTGCGCGAGCTGCACTACTCCCGGTGGTCTTCCAGGTGCGCTTCAAGGTGTTGGTGACCACCTTTAAAGCGCTCCATGGCTCAGGGCCGGGGTATTTACGAGACCGCCTTCTGCCACCAATAGCCTCCCATCGGCCAGTACGCTCACACAGAGTGGGCCTCCTCAGGGTGCCGTCCGCCAGACAATGTCGGCTGGTGACCCCCAGGGGGAGAGCCTTCTCTGTGGCGGCGCCCACCCTCTGGAACAACCTCCCCCCAGAGATACGTACAATAACAGACCTCTGGATTTTTCGTCGGGCCCTGAAAACCCATTTATTTCAGCTAGCTGGGCTGGCTTGAGTTAAATTTTAAACTGATTTTAAATTGGAATTTTTAATTACAGCCAGAATATTTAATTATTTTAAACAGTTTTTAGATTTTGTATGTCTTGTTTTTACTTTGGCTGTTCACCGCCCTGAGTCCTATATTGGAGAAGGGCGGTATAGAAATTTAAACAAATAAATAAATAAATAAAAATATTGGTTCCAAGGCAGTTCTCGCATTTTACTTTTAAGATCAATATTTTCAAAATGTCATAATCACTTAAAAAAAGGAATTCTATTGGTAATTAAGAAACATATACTTCATTATTAAAACTACGTCATCTTAAGACAATTTGCAAGTTAACATATTAGGCTGCTAATGTATATTGAAAATTGATTCTTATCTAAAATGAATGACTAAAGGAAAGACAAAGAGAATCAGTCAATAATATATTTCTCAAATATAATATACTTTTCAAAAAAAATGATATATGTAGTCAACAAGTAGTTCATTTCCTTACCTCTGCTGTTATTGGTTTTAGTAAAATCAAAGATAATGTATGTATCAATTAAGACAACTCTGATAATACTGGAAAATTAGTATCCATGATCAATTTTTCATAGAAGAAACACAAGGAACATACATATATGAAATATGGGTACTACAGAGAGAAGTATATTTAAATATAGCAGTTTTCAGTGCTACAGAAGAGCATTTCACTGCACAGATGCTGATATTTACACTGTAGTTCTTATTCTCTCAGCCAAATAAAATTGCTGAAAGCAGAATGATTATATGTTTCAAAATTGCCACTAAGAACAATAATGGTAATGCTACACTGCATCTTAACTGTGTATCCTAATCAATGAAAGATGAGGTTGCTATTTCCTGTTTTTTGAATTTTGTCATCTTTTTGATGTCCGAGAAGGCTATCATAGTAACCTAGACATTCTAAACATATTTGGAAGCTATACCTATTGGCAATTGTGATTTTCTTTTCATAAGAAATAAGTCTGATTAGCCAATTCATTGGTTATTGTTGGGGAAAGGAGAGGCTAATCTAAACCAGGGTGGCTAGGGAATTCTGGGAATTGAAGTCCACAAGTCTTAAAGTTGCCAAGGTTGGACACCTCTGATCTAAACTGACCTTTAATGCAATGCAGCCACTGTGATCTGCTTAAAAGTTGGATTCTGGGTGCATTATATTTTTTTAAATTAAAAGTTCCCAGATTATTTGCATTTATGAAGGGCTGATATTATCCTCTGTCTTTTTTCTTTGAAATCATTACCCTGAGCAATCATCTAGATTCTATAATTTGAGAGATTTTTATAAATAAAAACTATTAGTTGTTATCCATATGCTTATGGAATCATCTCTTTCAAGAGAGAATCCTATATAGCACTCTATAAGAGCTTTTGAACACATCTTGCCAATTTACCTGGTTACTAAAGCATTTGGATAGGGGAAGAAGCAGAAATAATTGATTAAATCCAGGTAGAAGTTTTTGAGTGAAATCTATTGGGATTTAATCGTACACATACATACAGTTTAACAAAGTAATGCTAATTCTTGGAAAGGCAATCTTAATTTGTAGCATTTTTTGCTCCTTCTTATAATAAAATAGTAGAATTCAACAACAAATAAATAATGTGTGCTCTTTTAATTTAATATCTATCATCCACCCTCATTAATCAAGGCCTGGTTCCCATGCTTCAGAAGAAAGCCCTACACTTCTCAAATCTAGTTCTACCAGATTTCTGTTGCTAACCAAAATATGCAAGTACTTTGTGCATAATACATAAAATTAGTAGTAAAGATTTTATAATCAGTGATAAACGTTATTTTATATATACTTAAAATTTTTATGTTTTATTTGGCAGTTCGAATCTCACCAAGCTCAAGGTTGACTCAGCCTTCCATCCTTCCGAGATTGGTAAAATGAGGACCCAAATTGTTGGGGGCAATATGCTGATTCTGTAAACCATTTAGAGAGGGCTGTATAGCACGGGTGAAGCGGTATATAATTCTAAGGGCTATTGCTATTGCTATTATTAGATTTTTAAAATAAAAATTGCACTTTGTTAAACAGCACTTTGTTGAGTTTCAAACAAATAAAAGACTTAATTATTTTTGCTATATTATGTTATGTAAGACAACTGCTGAAGTGGATTAGCTCTTTGTTTTAACAGTTTCATTAACATTTTTAAAATAACTTCCTTAATATCAAGGTTTTTTTTCTTCCTGTTTTTCATTTAAGGAAGATTATGCTAACTCCTTAAAACACTTCACTTCAGCACTGTGGCTAATCCTGTTCACTTGACTTATTTTTCTAGCAGGCATATGCAAATGCCTGCTTTATAAAGTGCTCTATTGTGAAACATCGATACTGTTATTTACCTTGTTCAGTTCACTCACAATCATGGAAAGTTAAATATTAGTCTTGTCCACTGAAGGCTGTTTTGAAGAGTAAGGAATGAAAGAAAATGATTTTTAGCCATCGCTCTCTAATAGTGGTATAAATACAGTGAAAGCAGGCAAGGCAATTGCTTTGTTGTCCATTGTTGTCCATTCCATGTTTCTTGACTTCAATGAACATGCTTACTCATGATAAAGCTGGGGAATATCTGGAGAATAAAAATCCAAAGAGTCTCGGACTTCTTTAACAGCAATCAGGATTGGAGGGATCCGTCCAAGAAAATATGTTTCCTAAATTCAGTTTAATAAGATTTACTAGGAAATCAATTAAAGTTACAACACAAAAATTCTATCTAATACTTTTCTTTCAAACAAGAAATCTCTGTTTAGGTAAATTAACACAGATTATTATTGTTTTGCATGGTCTTTAGAGATAAAGAAAAAGATTTTCTTTTGGGACAGAGTGACTATCTGTACCTGAAGAATGTTTGCAAATCAGTGTGAGCATCAGCTGTCACACTCATGACCACCATTCATAGCAAAAAAAGTAGAGGTTTCTGAATTTTATTGCTGCCAGATCTAATGGTCATCCTGAGTTTTTTAATTCATACATGGTAGCTCATGCATACATTACTAGAAGAAGAACCACCATTAAAACTGCTAACGCTGCCAATATTCACTATGGCTCCTAAATTGGCTGTTGGACTGGAGATTGGAGCAATGTGAGGAATTTTTCCTCAGAACAACTCAGTCTTTATTTGGATTAGGTATAAATTAAAGTATAGCAGGGCTTTGGCAAAATTTCAATACCCTAACTAATGGTACTTTTCAAGTCTGGAGCATGTGAGGAATTTAAGATTTTTCCTCAAAACAACTCAGTCTTTATTTGGATTATGTATAAATTAAGGAAGAGCAGGGCTTTGACAAAATTTCAATACCTTAACTAATGATACTTTTCAAGTCTCCTCGTGACCTCTCTTTCTTGATCCTGTCTGCCTCAAGGGGATGGCAAGTAAATACAATGTGCTTTCATTGGCAGAAAACTCAGAAGAAATAACCATTAAAAGAATGATTTCACTGATATAATAGGAATCACTGCAGTATAACTGACTGTATAACTGAACTTTCCTACCTATCACATCTGGTTTGGTTTAGTACATGCATTTTCTGGTGAAAAGTGGAAACGATTAACTGATAATTAATAATTAAATTGATCATATTTTTTGGAAGACATTTCCTCTGCTAGAAAATGATCCTTGCTTTCTGCTGCAGAATTTGAGAGCTCTGGAATACATGTCTTTCATGAAATGGGCATGGGCCTTATCTTTAATCAGTGTTCATGTTATAGTATTTGTTAGATTTATATACTGCCATAACTTCTGGAGTACAAGGCAACATCATAGCACTTTCTCTTCCAATTGTTCCCCCCATTAACAGTCCTGTAAGTTTAGTTGTAAGAGAGAGTAAGTAGCCTAAAGCCAGCAGTAGGTGTCCATGATACTCTATGTAGATAGGCCTCTACTTATGACCAGAATTGGGACCTGAGTATCCATTGCTAAGCAAAGTGGTTGTTAAATTACACACACACAATTTTACAACTTTTCATGCTACAATTGTTAACTGTATCAACTTTGCTTGTTGGAAGCTGGTTGGGAAGTCACAAATAGTGATCACATGGATGTTGCAACCATCATAAATACATGTCTGTTTCCAAGTGCCTGAATTTTCATCATGTGGCTGTGAAAGAGGCCGTGATGGTCATATGTGTGAGAACTGGTAAGTTACTTTTTTCCAATATCACTGTAACTTCAAATGGTCACTAAACAAATGGCTGTAATTCAAGGACCAACTGTAATTATATATAAAATGGCTTAGAAAGCAGAAGATCATGAGTTCAAGTCCTATCATAGCCATGAAAGCCAGCAAGTCACTTTGGACCAGTCAATTTCTCTGCCCAATCCGCCTCACAGGTTTGTTGTTGTGGTGAAATGAGGAGTAGGAAGATGTGTTGGATATGTTCGCTGCCTTGTGTTATTTGTAAAAAATAATAAAGGTGGGATAAAAATAAACAAAAACACAGCCTGACCAAAGACTCATTCCTTGGTCCTTCTACAATTCTAGGAGTGGTAGTTCTGTAACATATGAAGGGTTGTAGAGAAAATGAGAATTTCTAGTTCCAAAGGCTGTATTTCAGTTTAAGACATACAGAGAAAATTTAATTAAATTAAATTAAATCAGACAATGTTGAAAATGAATAAATGTAGCTTGTTTCCTCATGTGCGTTTGCAGAAGTAGGTCTCACCAGGTTGCCCTATTTTATGACAACCTATGTATGACTTGATATTCCTATTGAAGAAGAAGCCTACAAGAGCTGTGATAATTTTTTACAGTTTTCTTTTGATTCTTCATTTCAAAAGAGGAAAGATGGGGGAAGAACTGTTTACGTCAGTAAATCTCTGTCTTAAAGTGCTGTATTGGGTGTTGGTTATATAAAACTGATTTCCACCCATTGACAGGGTATGAGTGTAACCATGGTAACACTTCCAGCCCTAGTTTCATACTGAGTACAGGAAAAATAAAGCTATGTATAGATATAGATATATGTAATTAAATGTCATTGAATTGAAAATGACAACTGAAAATTTAACTGATTCTCTTCTTTCTTGGCAGAATCTGGCATCATCTGGGTTCCAGCTGAAATGGTACTAGCTACTGTATAGTGAATGCCTAAAGTTTCAGGTAAATTCTAAGTCTAATCTACTCAAATTGTACCATATGTCCCTCTGCATCTACTGACACTTGCTTCCTATTTATTTCCCGCTTATATTATATTTATTTCTAGTTTGTATCGAATACTTTTTCCTATATGTTTTTCTGGAATAGTGTTTTCTTATCAGGCCATAAAATCTTCCCTATTTAGGGCTTAAGTCATATGCAGACAATTTCTTTTGTCCTACAGCCTGCATTTTTCAGTGATTTGGCTTTTGTAAACTATAGGACAGGGGTGTCAGACTCAAGGTCCTCAGGCTGGATGTGGTCCATAGGTTGCTTAGATCTGGTCCACAGGGCGACCCTGGAAACAGTGAGGGACCATCCCACGGTGCCTTTGCCTATGAAAACAGAACCATTTTCACTGACAGAGGGTTGCAGGAGACAGTTGCAGCTGAAAACAGAGTTCGCCCAAGCTCCATTTTCGTTGGTAAAGCACTCGGGCCACCACAGGCACCCCTGACATGAGTGACATCAATCTGGCCACACACACACACACACACACTCACACACCCAAGGTCAAAGACAACTCTGACGCAGCCCTCAATGGAACTGAGTTTGACACCCCTGCTATAGGAGAAGCCTATCTGCTGGAAGGGTGAAGTGCCATGCTGCTGGGTTGAATATGTTTGTCTTTGTGGAGGGTTGGTGTTTTTAAAGGTGTGATTTTGTGTGTGTGTGTGCTTTGCAGAGGCTTAACAGATAAATTGGTAATGCTATTTTTGCTTTTAAATAGGGAGTGGGGTTTTTATAATTTTATTTGAGCTACGGTGGTGCAGTGGTTAGAGTGTAGTGCTGGAGACTACTTCTCCTGACTGTCGGCTGCCTGTAATTTGGCAGTTCAAATCTCACCAGGTTCAAGATTGACTCAGCCTTCCATCCTTCTGAAGTGGGTAAAATGAGGACACAGATTGTTGGGGGCAATATGCTGATTCTGTAAACTGATAGGGAAGGCTGTAAAGTGGTATATAAGTCTAAATAATATTGCTATGTAACAATATTTATAGATTATTTCAATCCACACAGACTATGGCAGCATGCAACAATTCAAAATACCATACAATTTTAAGACAAAATAATAGTGGTAATGATGATTTGGTTACCCAAACTAAGCTGTCCATTTCCTGTCAAATATTAGGGCACCTTTGCCCCAAACCATGGTTCTCAAAATGAGACTCATGGACAACAAGTGATTCATTGGGCTCAGTAGTGGGTTTCAAATCCTGTTGCTACTGGTTTGCTCATGGGCGCACGTGCATGACGCTTCTGTGCATGCACAGAATCATCCAGGTGGGTGGACAGAGCCTCCCGCCGCTGCTGCCGCTGCCGCCCCTACCAGTTTGCCCGATCTGGGATGAACCGGTAGCAACCGACCACTGATTGGGCTCCAGTTACTCCTCTCTATTTTAAAAAGGTGTGCTGTACAAGTAGAGCTGCCTTGCTATGGATTCATCTCATATAAGTAATAATTACTATTATCATATATGACAAACAAATTCACATGAATCCTGAACTCTCAACCATTTATGACCTCATGAGTGCAAACTAGTATTTAAATATAGCTTCACTGCATATAGTGTAATCTATTTAACAGTAACTAAATACTTAGAAGCCATTTCAAATGGTACAAGGGAAGAAAACAATATGCTTTAGAATACTCTTGAATTAAGATTAGATGAGATGTGTTTGGAGAGTCAATTTGGTGACCTTGGGCCAATCACTGTTTCTCAACTCTGGAAAGGAGGCAATGGCAAACCACTTCTGAAAAACTTTGCTAAGAAAACTGCAGGGTGGTCTCTGAGAATTGGACATGATTGAATAGAGAAAATGCTAAAATCTGCAGGATGGGAAACTGAAGATCCCAAACTCCTCTTAATGTATTAAAAATGTAATACAAGCTTAAATCACATTGAACAGCATATAATAATAACATACAAAATTAGGTAGTGGTGCAACCACCAAGGGTAAATAAAAAATTTATTGACCTTGTAAAGACTTTGAACCTGCTATATTATTTCTTTCATGAAAAATTCATATACTCCACACATAGTTTCTGTTGATCTCTTATTGCATTACTTTTTCTATTTATATTTTCCTGAATATATATAATAGTATTTGAAATGATGGGACTTTGGAAATTTATCAAAGTACATATGCTTTGATTATTTGCAAGATTATTTATTATTTATTTCTATATACTTCAGTGCCGTCTGAGTCCAAAGCAAAACCAAGTGACTCAAAAAGGTCAGTTAATATATTCTGTAGTATCCTAGGATTTTTCCCCTATCCTGTTACCCTTCAAGTTATAGATAGGAGTTACACATTTCAGTGTTATATGTGGGGAAAAAATACCTGCAGGAAGAAACTAAGTATATGAGCAATCAGTTTCCTTATGGTCTCATTTCTGACATGCTGGTTTTCTATTATCAAGGAAGAGTTCATATCTATTAAATCCTATCTGCAGACATATAGGCTAGGAAGACATAGTACTTATTTTGTATTACACATTTGTATGGCAGTTATTGAGGGATAACTTGGAAAAGGGTTGTCTAAGGTTTATTATTATTTGTTCAAGATAACACTAAACACTGAAGCAAGCAATTTGAAAGAAGTGTGATGAAATATCAGGTACTTCTAGGGTCAAAATAACAGATGGAAATTACAGAGTGCGCCCTTGAATATAACAAGAGAGTTTGGGTTGCTTGATCCAGGATTTTATTTTCACAGTAACTGAAGGTGATTGTGAAAAATCTTCAAGGAAGAACATAAGAGCAAAATGTCTGACACCCAGCTGATAATCCAAGATAAATTGGTTCTAGCACTGACAGTAAAGTATAGCTGTAATGGCCAAACAGCACAGAAATACTGTGCTGGGTCTTTATCCCCAGAAATATTTTACTTCTCTTTTATACCACCCAAATTGGTAGCCCTTTCAACATGCACCACTGTATAACATGAAGTAATCCCCCATTTTTTTCCAGCAGAAATGATGCTGACCTTTTGGCTACCATCTGCCTGCAATTTACCTCCAACTATGACACATTTTCCGACAAATGTCTCTGTTGTTTTCCCCAGGAGGCCTCTGAAGTTTATTCATTGCTTGTCTAGCAAATCCTAAATGCTTCCTTGCTCTGCCAGTTCATGCTGGGCACAATGAATTCAGCCCAACTCTCAATAAATCCTTCCTTCAAAATCCATTTTTACTTTTTTAAGACTATGTTAAACTATGGTAACACTTTATAGCCCCTATAACATTTGGAATCTATTATTGTACTTGACATCTTGTCCTTGATTTTGCTTATTATTTATTTTGCTCCATTGGCCGAATTGTTATTAACATCGTTTTTTTTTTTAAATCTTACTGGGCTAAGTCTATTTCCAGTTTCCAACTAAATCACTTTGAGTCATGAACTCATTTACATTTGAGGTTGGGAGGGCTGCTTTCTTCCTACATTTTAAGTGGCAATATCAGGCAATTGTCATAGAAGAGGATGAGTCATCTTCTTATATTGTAAGACATTTATATTCCAGGATATTAGATAACTAAAATGAGGCCTGAGAAACAGGGCTCATGGAAAAAGATCTATCTAGGTGGTTGCTAGGAGTCAAAAATGACTTGATGGCACATAATTAATAAATCCTAGGCAACAGGGTCAGTTCTGCCCTTGGGTGGGTTCAGACAACTGCTTCACATGGCAGGTATTGGGACTAAAGAATAGCAGTGAAGCAGATAGAGCCATCCCTGCTGTAGAACTTGGCCTGCATCCCTTAAAATAGTATGTCTAATCTGATAAAATGTAGTGAAAGATATTGGTCTGTCAGAAGTTTTCAGGCAAGCCTGAACTAAATCAAAACTGGCTGGATTCACATATCACGATATGCACGATTTTGTGAGAAAAGCATTGTACTTGACTTTTGAGAAGATTGATACTCTCAAAAATGGTGGGTGAGGCCAGGTAAAATACTAAGTTTGTCATTTAAATGTCATTTAAATGTTACATTATTCATCATAATCCCATTTGCCACACGTAAAATTATTTTCCCCTTGATCATTTTATCATCTATCATGTTAAAACTCTCTAGATGATAGCAACTTTTAGGGATCTCTACAGGTATCTCCAAAGACTCTCATGAGCCACATACTGTTCTGGGCCTGAAATTCTCCAGCTCTGCCATGAACTACGACTCATGAATTATGATTGGATTCATACAGCTCACTAAGGCAAAATAAAAAGAAAGCACATTGTATCATAGTGCAATATAGGAGTCCAACAGTCATCTCCAAGGATTAGAGTCAACTGAAGCCTCAAACATCTGGTAGAACTTTGTCTTTTAGTGCCCTTATGCCATACATATTTAGATCAAATAAGCAAACTGAGAAATAGGAGGAGGATATATGGAGAAGAAAGAGAATTGAACTACACAGATTTATCTTTCTCAAAGACTAAGATGAAGTTGCCTATATTTTCTTATAATATCTTTTTTGCATTATGGTTATTTACTTATGAGAATAAGCTTGAATTTCCAAGGCTCAGACACAAATGCACATTAGTTGTAAATGAAGTAGACGTTAGAGATGAGAGATATATTTTAATGATTTCTCTGATTATCATTGTCAGTTTTTAGTGGCAAACAGATGCCTTGTTACATAAAGGTGTTTTTTTTTCATTTTTAGAGTCTGCAGTAACAAGTCAGTGTGGGAATCTTTGCTAACACAGTCAGAAAGAAAAGTAGCTCAGCTCACTGCATAAGTTTGTGGGAAGTGAAAGTTACTACATTTTAGGAATGTTCTGGACATGCATTGGAATATTTATTAATTATTTAAAAACACAGATCCCTAAAGAATTACTCATTTCCTTTCACAGAATTCCAGCAAGTACTTTTACATATACATATGTATATGCGTACATGTACATGTGTGTGTGTGCACTCATGTATGTGTACCTGCAGTTTAGGACAGCAAAAACTCTTGTCCATTTCCTTGTACTTTTCCAATGAAATGTGCTGGAAACTTGCCTCTTAATATGATGGAAAGGCAGCCTACATCTGTTCATTGTTTTGATAACTGTCATTCCTATCAGTGTGAGAAGTAACTTCACACATATCTTGAGTTTGTAGGGATGGGGGAAACATTCTTCACTAGAGACCAAGATAAAAGGCAACTCCTGTTTTGGGACAGAGGTCATGTCAACAAGTTCTCCCTGGGAACAAACAAATATCATAGCAAGCATTATCGCATAGAAGATCCTACAGTTTCTAATATTTTATGCATTTTTATTCACTTATTTAAACAAATTATTGAATCAACTCATATGACCAGCCATCCCAATGCAGTGACTCTGGGAAGTTACCAATAACAAAGCAAAACATTAACATTTTAAATAATCAAAAACAATGACAATGGTCATCAATAGATGCACCAGAGGTCCAAAATCATCTTTGCAATTTCATTTACAGATAGACAAGAGAGGTCACCTAAGCATCTATCCCTAAGATCTGAGGGAACAAACAGGCGTTTAATGCCTTGAGAAAGGCCTTCAAAGGGTTGTGGCCATCAGAAACTCAGGAGGTGATGGATGCTGTTCTACAGGAAGATGCTGTGACAGAAGATGCTGTGACAGAGTTAACAGACTTGAGGTTGGAGTATAAGTCATATACTACACTTTTTGTGTTTAGAAATAAATGCATAGTGTATGCCAGATGTCTAACACTGAAACTATGCAGCTCGTGGCACATGGAGAGTAGTAGAATGCTTCAAAAGGCTTTTTAAAAAATGATTTATTAAACTAAATAGAACAACTAGGCCAGAGATAATTGTTTCCAAAGAGAAATGAAAATGAGCTTCTCATAATCAATGTTTATCCAGTGCAGGAGTGGGTTCCACTTACCTTTGCTACCTGTTCGCAACGGGAGCGTGTGCATGCGTGTGCTTGCTTTGCTTGCGTGCAGTGCTTCTCCGCATACGCAGAGCATCCGTGATGATGTCCAGGTGGGTGGGTGGAGTCTCCTGCCGTTGCTACTACCGATTCGTAAGAGCCAGAGCAAACTGATAGCAACCCACCACTGATACAGTGGGTTTTTTTTCTTTTTTGCATTTCAGGCCTCTGTGATAAAGGAATAAGGGTGTACAATGGTTGTGAAATTGGAGGAAATGGAGACATAGTTACAGCTTAATGGAGAAGCTATGATAGGCCTGGGTTGAGCAAAGTGACAAATTTGGAGGTTTCAGTTAGTCCTTGTTTATTGACCTCTCGTTCAGCGATTGTTTAAAGTTACAGTGGCACTGAATGAGGAGACTTATTACCAGTCTTCCAAGTTGTGGAGGTCACAACATCATATGGCTATATGATTGCCATTTGTGACCTTTGCTGCCAGTTTCTAACAAGCAAAGTTAATGAGGAAGATGACAAGAGATACACTTAACAACTGCAGCCAGAACTGATATGATAAATTGGCATGGTCACCTGCTATTTCATTTTATGACCCTGGCATTTAGCAACGGAATTGCCAATTCCAAATGTGGTTGGAGAAGACTACTGGTAATCGTAATAGTGCAGAGAAATTTGCTTTTAGTTTTTCCAAAGATTTTTTTAACTTGTGAAGAAGTTTATTTTCTTTTTTTCTACCAACTAAATCTCAGACAGTTTTAGAATTTTCTTAGGTATGATTTTAAGTTATTTTCTTGCAAAGTGGTATAAGATAGTGTTATGGTTACTGTTTTCCACATCTATCAATTGCTATATATAAAGGAAATAGGCTTCTAGCAAGGTTGCTGTAAATAAACAATAGAATAACTAACATGCTTTAACTGCAATTTGACATTTTCTAATCCTTTGAACAAAATTTGAGAGCAAATTACTTTTCATCAAACAGAAAAACTGAAGATTAAATTTTCACTACAGCACTGGTGATATATTTACGGTTCCAGGGCAGGAGTGTCAAATTCAATTTCATTGAGTGCCGCATCAGGGTTGTGTTTGACCTTGGGGGACTGAGGTGGGCATGGCCAGGGTGGGCATGGCCTGCTCAATGTCATTCGTGTTGGGGGCACTCTGCCAGTGAAAACGGAGCTCGGGAGGGCTGCCCACGGCCTCACAAGCTTCGTTTTCCTGGGCAGAGGCACCGCGGGCTGGTCCTTTGCTCTTTCCAGGGCAGCCCCACGGGCCAGATCTAAGCACCCAACGGCCGGATTCGGCCCTCAGGCCTTGAGTTTGACACCTCTGTTCCAGGGGAATCAAAAGAGAAAGGATATGAGAATATCCTTTCTCACATTTGGGAAAAAAAAGATTTCAAATTATAAAAAGACATCAAACTAACAAGATGCAGCACAAATGTTCAGTCATACAAATGCGTGATGGGAATTGTAGTTCAAGCACAACTGAAAAACAAAGATTATGGAAAAGCTAGCAAAACACTTTTTAATAAGAATATCTCTTTTTTATCTTCTATAGTGCATTTTTCTACTGCAAATACTCTTCAGATTTACCAAATGGTCTAGTTTCTTTAACAGAATCCTAAGGTTTGTATTTTTATAAAGACACTATTCGTTGCATTAAAAATGTTCTTTCCCACTTGAAACTGGCTGTGACAGAAATTTAAGTCTATTTCCAAAGCCGTCCTTTGCACTTCTCCATGATTCACTGTGGACCTCTATGATCCCACAGTGTTGTTCCTGTTCCTGTTCCAGAGCTGAATCAATTTATTTCCAGCTAGTTGTGGAATACGTAGGGTTGTGTATGTGACTGTGTTTGTGTGGGTATGAGTGTAGGTGTGTGTTTGAAAGGCAGCCGCTTTGTAGGCAAGCTGTTTTTCCATTGCCTCATCCCACCTCCTGATTGTCAGGCTCTGTCTCCTCTAGCAGAGGTTAAAGCATCATAACTTCATGCTAACATTGTTGTTGTAATTAATTGCACAGAGGAATAACATCCTGGTGCTGCAATGCTGGGGGAACATCTCAGCTAACTATCAATATTATGAAAACCAGACAATGATAGAGATGAAGCACTGGTTGGGTGGCTTTTTCTAAAGCCATCCTCTTGATCTGATGGAAGATGCTCAGATTATTTTATGAAGCATTTTCTGTATTTTGAGGTTAAGTGGGTGAGAGTGATTGATAGACGTCTTTAAAGTATCTATAAAGATTGGAGAGCAGAAATGGTGGTAGAGTGCAAGCCTATAATGCCAAGTCAATTTCAGAAGTGTGCATCAGTGACCGTTTCACTTTGAAATAAATAAGCCATGTAGTTTTGGATTGTGGCTTTGAATCTACTTCTTGCACAAATTTTTCCATCTGCTTCTATGTATCCCCCAAATACTGTTCATCATAAACAACATCTGCAGGAGCAAATGCACAATTTTAGCAGAATGTCAACATTCTAAATGATCTGGCTTGTATCTAACTCTGAACTATTTCTTAAAATCCAAATTTAACATTCCAATTTAAACATCATTCCTGCCTTCTAAAATGATGTCATTTCATATTATGTCATATATTTCAAAATGGATCAGGCCTGCCTCAGCCATCTTTCTTTTTTTTTCAGCTTGCCACATAGTATAGGAGGGGGGAGAAAATCTAGAATGTCAGACCAGACAACAACAGATCATCCCGTGGGAACCAAGGTCAGCTCAACAGGTGCTGGCCAAAGACTAAGAGGAGTTGCCAAAGAGACACCAGAATACCTAATTGGACAATGTGACCTATGACAATAAGGGAGGGAGTTATCTATTCTTTAACTAAACCACAGGAAATAGTTAGCTCTGGTTTTGTTTTCATCCGTGCCAAAATGATGTATGCAATAAAACAGTTCTTTGACAAAGTTGCAAGTCTCAGAATGCTGAATTGGTTGGGTTTATTAGTTGGAACCTTGACATTATGATGCTTCTGTCTACTTCTTGCAAGAATGCAGTCTAAAGGTATTTGCATTTCTTTTTGCTAATACACTTTAGCATTATTATAAAAAGCATTTGTGTCCATTTCCATTATATTATTACCATTTTTATGTGTATAAACATTTTCATAAACAATATATCTATATTGATTATGTTGCCTGGGAATGCTGTGAATTTTAATTACAATAGGTTTGAGTTAATTTGGGGAAAGTTATGTTAAGGTTTCAAGGTCTGAGGTTGGACTCTAATCTTGTAAACTACAAAGGAATGTGCTTGGCATGTGGCTTGTTCAGTGCAAAGGGGCTTGAGTTGTGTAATGTGTTCCTACAGGATTTATCAGATTAACTGTCAGGAAGCAGAAACTGTTCTCCTTTAACATATCTATTCAAAAGAGTAAGATTGTAGGCTTGCAACACTCAAGGTATAGACTAAATGCACTTAATAGAATTAAACTTTATTTCTGACTAAAAAATGTTAGACTGCACGGCATGCCTCTGACCCTAACACTCTTGATGTCTAGAGCAGGCATATAAAATGGAGCTTCTATAGCCCAGTATTGGTGCTGGAGTGACGGAGATAGAGAAACAGAAAGAGAAAAAAAAATCCAAATCAGCAGAAGAAAGGAGGCAAAGATGTTGGGTAAAATTATTAATCTGCATTCAATCATCCTTATCCTTTAAAAAAATATTAAAACAATATATTGTCATATAATTAATGATATGTGAGGTTGGAATGTGTGAGGTTAAAGAGAAAGTAAAATAAAGTTGAGCTGCATATGCTTAGTTTTGTGTTTTAAGACTGGGGAGGGATGCGCCCTTCTAAACCACATATTATTTTGGGTCTCAATCACAATGATTTGTCTCCTTGTAGCTTAAGGTTCTATTTCTTCTCTATAAGGCTCTAAATCAGTGATTCTCAAATATTTTGATCTCAGGGCCCTTTTACACTCATACAAATGATTGAGGACCCCAAAGAGTTTTGATTTATGTGAGTTGTATTTACCAATATTTACTATATTAGAAATTAAAACGAGAACTTTTAAAATATTTATTTATTTGATTTTGTGGCCCCACTGAAAGGTCTTAGGTTAGGAGATCCTATGGTCTCCAGACCACACTTTGAGAACAAACTAAATGGTTTGGGGTCAGCATATCTGAAATATTATCTTCTCTCATATGAACCTGTCCTTAATTTATTTTATTCAGGGGCTCTTTATTAGCAAGCAGCATATAAGTAGATCTTTCACTCCTCTGCCTAATGAAAACGGAAAGAAAAATGTATCAAAATACTTACAAATGTCTATTAATAATTAATAACAATAACTGCAGATTCGGATTCAGTAGCAACCACACAAATTTAGTTACGTTATGTGAGGTCATCATTCATATATTGAAAATCTGAATTGTAAACTGGAATAAACTAAATGAAAACAAAAACTGTTTCCATGCTAAGCGCAGCCAAAAGGAAGGGAAAAAATCAAATAGGAAAAGCAAGAATCATTATAATTTTCATTATTGTTGTTGCCTTTGGAACGATGTTCTGTTTTTGTTTCCTGTACTAACTGTTATGAAAACTCTAAGACAATAAGTCTGTAATTTCCTGGTCCATGGCATGGTGTTGATGGCATATAGGAAAGTTTGAATCATAGTATCTTCCACACTCCTTGATTCCCCTATAATGGATCTCTGATGTTAGGAAAGGCTAATGAGGTAAATCAGGGAGTTGTCATGAGCTGTTCAGGGAGACTGAAACCTTCAACTTGACATCTACGAACTTTGGACTGAGACCAAAAAGCTTGATGACAGCCCTGAATCTGGCATGTATAATGGCCCTTTCTTTTCATTTTAATGGGAGAAGTAGCTTTTAAAAATCCAAAACAAACAAGCAAAGATATTGTATCCTTGTTCATTGATATTAGGTAATTCTTACATACACAAATTAAATTTGCCTGATCCATTATGAAAAATTTTCTTTTAAGAATTAACAGTAAGGAAACAGATTAAAATATATTGATGTATATGTGACACTTAAAAAAAAAAGAAACAGAATGTGATAGTTTTCTTCCTAGTTGAAATTATCCATTAGCAGAATAACATCTATTCTGTAGGACCTACAGTATGTTAGCTGCCAGTTGATGTTCAGGGCCAGTTGAAACTGCTATATAACCCTTCTTACGGTTCTGGTTGCTTCCAGGACCATTTTCTTCAGATAGAATCTGCTCACCATACAAGGCCTAGTAGGCAGAGAACACTTACTTTGCCTATCTTTAATGGGATTCTAAAAATTATTGAAAGAGTTCCCTTTAAACGAATGTTTGACTTGAATAGCTTCTAGTGTACTAACAGTTTCAATTGGCATTTTTATTAATAGTATTTTTTAATTTTAATAATTTACTTCTTATGGTCTTGAGTATTTTATAATGTGTTATTGTGATTACAGAATTACAGAATAACAGCGGTGGAAGGGACCTTGGAGGTCTTTTAGTCCAACCTCCTGCCTAGGTAGGAAACCCTACACCACTTCAGACAAATAGTTATCCAGTATCTTCTTAAAAACTTCCAGTGTTGGAGCATTCACAACTTCTGGAGGCAAGTTGTTCCACTGATTAATTGTTCTAACTGTCAGGAAATTTCTCCTTAGTTCCAGGTTGCTTCTCTCCTTGATTAGTTTCCACCCATTGCTTCTTGTCCTACCCTCAGGGGCTTTGGAGAATAGCTTGACTCCCTTTTTTGTGGCAGTCCCTGAGATATTGGAACACTGCTATCATGTCACCCCTGGGCTTATTTTCTTTTCTTTTTTTTTTTTTTTTATAAATTTTTTATTGTAAACAAACATACACATATAGACATAAACGTTAAAACAAACTAGACATAAACTAACTATACAATGAAATCAAGTCACATAACTTGAATTTTGAATTTTGAAAATAGAGCTACTTCGGTAATTATATATCAATATATCTATATGTATTATCTTTCATCTTGTATCAATGTTTATATAACGATATTTCCTTTTATTTCCTTATTTTTGTATTATTGGGTGGTAATCTCTTATTTCGTGTCTTTTTTGTCTAACCATTTGTACCATTCTTGCCAAATTAAGTAAAAATCTGTATCTTCTTTTCCTTGTATTTCTTTGGTCAATTTGTCCATTTCTGCACATTCCATAATTTTTTGTATTATTTTTTCTTCTGGTGGCGTGTTTTCCAATTTCCACATTTGTGCGAAGACGATTCTAGCTGCAGTTAGGATGTGTATTATCAAGTATTGTGTCTCTTTTTTATAGTCCTTTGTCAGTATACCTAATAGATAGGTTTCTGGTCTGAGGGGTACTTTTTGGGCGGTAATTTCTTCCAGCTGACTTTGAATTGTTTTCCAAAATTTTTTGACTTTGGGGCATGACCACCACATGTGGTAGTAGGTCCCCTTCTGTATTTTACACTTCCAACAGTTCTGATTAGTATTGGGAAACATCCTTGCCAGCCGTGCAGGGGGGAGATGCCACCTATAAAACATCTTGTACGTATTTTCTTTGTAGGGCACGGACATTGTCAGCTTAGTATTTACTTTCCATATTTTTTCCCAATTCTCTAGGTTAATATTATATCCAAAATTTTTGGCCCAAATAATCATATTTTCCTTCACCACTTCTTCTTCCAATTTGTATTTTAATAGATAATTATATATTTTAGTTATTAATTTGTCATCTGATTGCATTATAATTTTATCTAATTCATTTCTTTCTTTTTGGATTCCAAATTTTTCCATATCACTTTTATATCTTGATTTTATCTGTAAATACGGCCACCAGTCAATATCCGTGCCCTGTTGTCTCAGTTCCTCTCTTGTTTTCATATCTCCCTCTGTGTTCAACAATTCGTCATAGGTTTTCATCCTGTCTGTGTCCATTGTGTTCGGGTAGATTTGGGCCTCCATGGTTGATAGCCATCTTGGGATTTTGTCGTAGTGTTTTCTCCTTATTTCAGTCCAAATTTTTGCCAGTGCTCCTCTGATATAATGTCTCCTGAAGTGTTCATGTTGTCTGGGCTTTTCCTCCCATAGAAATGCGTGCCAGCCTTTTGACAAGTCAAATCCTTCTAGTGCTAGTGTTCTTTTATCTTTGAGTGTCATCCAATCCTTAATCCAAGTTAAAGCTGTTGCAGTATAATAGGTTTGCCAATCTGGTAGTCCCAGGCCACCCCTTTCTTTAGTGTCCTGCAGGTGTTTCAATTTAATCCTGGCTCTTTTTCCTTGCCATAAATATCATTTTAATATCATTTTGTCAAGGTCTTTGAAGTATGATTTTCCTGGGTTTATCGGTATTGTTCTAAATAGATATAGTATTTTTGGTAGAATTGTCATTTTAATTGAAGCGATTTTGCCTAGTAGTGATAATTTCAATTTACTCCATACCTCTAAGTCCTTCTGGATTTGTTTGGCCAATTTGATGTAATTGTCTTCTTTGAGGGATGATATCTTATCCCTGGGCTTATTTTCATTAACCTAGACATACACAGTTTCTGCAACCACTCTTCATATGTTTTAGCCCCCAGTCCCCTAATCATCTTTGTTGCTCTTCTCTGCACACTTTTTGAGAATTAATGATTAATAATTATTAATTTCATTAATAATGATTAATGAAAGCCATCTTGAAGAATCACAATGGGCAGCATACAAGTATTGACAATTGCCATGATATTTATGCCTCAAATTTATTTAACATAATATTGTGTCATCCAAATTAAAAAGTAATAAAATCCTAAACTGAAGTTTCAATCTTCAGACAAAACTAGGTACTTTCAAATGGGTGAAATAAATCAGAAGTAATATTTTTGGTAAATGGGTAACAAATCTCTTACCTAGACAATTATTTAAACATAAATAGGTTTATGTTAATTTATTGTTACTTTTCATTTGTCTGTGATCCAAT